GTGATGTTATTTCCTAATCCTTCCTCATAGACAATGTGGTTATTTTGCTAGATAGTGATTCTTCAAGTCTATGTAACAGATTCCATACTTGAACATGAATTGATAATGTTTTCCTTTAATGTAATAAGTGGAAGTAGCCTGGTCTCTGTGAATGCTGGCATGTGGGTTGAATGTGTTCTTCTTTCAATGCTATGTACCAGGTCAGTGGAGTTTCAAGACAAATTTAAGAACTATCACACTAACTGATGCCTCTGTTCATGAAAGGTTCCATTTAGAAAAGAATACCTTGTGTAGGAATTTATGGCTTTCAGAATAAGGAACGATTGAGGATAAAGTTCACAGTAGTAATTCTCTTTTGAATATAACATTTGAGTTCAAAATATTAAGAATTATAATTGAAATATCAATAATTAATTTTGGTATTGCTAGCTCTCTTTGAATAAGCATATATTTTATCTCCTCAACTAGATTTGAGGACAGGGACTATCTTTTCTATCTCTTTGAATTCACATTGGCTTCAACTAATTTTCACAAAATTAAAGAATATTACATTTCTATTGATTTTTAGCTGTCATTTGTTTTTATACCTAATAAAGGATTTTTCGCTCAGCACCTCTGCCATATGATTCTTAAAATTATCAAACACTTTGCCAGTTATCCATAGTTAGTACCAGAAGCTTATCATTAAATTACATATTGTTTGTGTTATATACTCTTTCCTGTATTTTAGTCATTTTATAACATGAATATAAGTTATTTGCTCCTGAATTGAATATCATTTTTAATTAACCTTTATTTCTGGATGCTTATTATATTTTCAGTTGACAATCTGAGTGATCAATGGGTTGTTTTGCTAAAATAACCATAAAATGTTGGAACAAAGACTGTTACTAAGAAGCTAGTTCATCTATTATTGCCTTTAAAAACCCATTGCCATCGAGTCGATTCCGACTCATAGTGACCCTGGGAAAGTTAAAGATTCAATCTGATTTATATTTAGAAGTTTAAAAAGAAGGTATCTTCCTCCAGTAAAGATATAAGAATAATATTTATTCTGAAAAATTACTCTGGGAATACAGAATAATATTACAAAAGTCTTAGAAACTCTAGGAACTCTTCTGTATCCGATAACCCTTGAAAAAGTTGACTAATGTTTTTCTGATATCCCATCCATTCAGAGCTTCTTTTTTATTCCCCAGTTGTATCTTCGTAGTTAAATTATATGTAGAAAAGTGTGATCAATATTAGTTCTTAATTTGAATTGCACCTAGCCAGTTGAGTTAAAGTTTTAGAAGTCAAAAGATACCTTTTAGAGCAGATTTCTTCTCAGATCCTCAAAGAAGCTAAGGGCTCCATAACTGAAAAAGTAATGTCTAGGCATTTGAGTTAATCCTATTACTCAGTTCATCTCT